CCAAGCATTTGTTAAATCTTCGTATGGAGGGGATGTAACATAAAGCGCTGGAAAGAGGATATCGTGTGCTAGCAATCATTTTACTGATCTTCATCTTGATGACTTCAAGTGGTTAAAGCTTGAGATAATGAATGAAGCTGAGAAATTATCAAATGATGACTTTGATGATTTTGATGAATTCATTGAAGATTATTTTAGACATCATCAGATAGGGGGAGATTGTAAGGTCACACCTTATGATCTGATGAGTCAAACACTTTATACGCTGACCACCAGCGCCAGAGCCAACACTAGTACCAGCGCTAGCGTCTCAAGACCTTATCAGCGTCAGTGCGAAGATAATGATCTTATGTAATATTTGTATGTTAGGTAGTTATACGGATATGTATAAAATAGATAGCAGATCTGATATCTTGGTGATAAGGATCTGTTCCTATTATAGATTAGATACTCTCCTTTGATTGAAGGGATTTACGAGAGTACTTTTGAATATATTCAACATTAGGGTGAAACCCTAAAGTATGTCTTGGTGACCATCTTTGTAACCTTCGTTCTCTTGGTGAGAACACCCCTTTCTTGGTGAAAAACATCTTTGTGATTACTCGTGTTCTTTATTTTTATGTTCAATCTTTCTTTAGTTAGTTTGTTCTTCGTTGATTATAATTGAAGTGTATCTGATCGATATATATATATATATATATATATATATATATATATATATATATATATATATATATATATATATTGGTGTTGAAGGCTTTAAACACACACACATATGATATCCAACTAAGCTGTATAAGCTTAATGATTCTAGTTGGAGACTTATCTAAGCATTGTGTAATAAAAATCTATACTTCTATAAGAATGTCAGGAGTATTGATTTCTAGAAGTCTATTCGATTTCCGAGTACATGTTAAAGCTAGTGAGAGCATAAATGTTATGCTAGTATTGTATGTTGACAATAATGTTCATAGGGAACAAAGTTTCCAATTTGTAAATTGCAAAGATTGGGTATTGTTTCGTTATAGGAAACTTTAGGAAGAGAGGCACTCATACTTCCTTTCGAATCTAAAGGTTTAGATCGTATAGTTTAGTAAAACTTAGTCATAGACGTATATGAATATCCTGTTGAAATGCTTCAACATAGGAAATTCCATATATAGAAATATTATAGCAAGAGATTGAACATATATCATATCCTTATATAGGATATAATGATTCGAGTTCCATATGCTTTGAATATAGGATTAATTATATATACTATAATATTCCCTTATTCTAAATTTTCAAGTACTTAGAGCATTGTGCGAAAAGGACAAGAATTTTTTGTGACTAAAATTATTAAACAACAGTCAAGAACATTCTAAGGTTATACCAAAAGACTGGTTGCTTGTGGATAGTTAGAAGTACGATATTAATTTGGACAGACCATAGTGACATGATAATGGATTGAGATGATTTTTGATCAGAATTGATGGTCATATGAGAATATGGAATTGCTTCATAATGGGAGATGGTTGAAAAGTCTATAAGTGAGTTGGAAACTTTAATGCAAGAGAAGTATTCAGGGAGTGTACCTTTAATTAGAACCATCATTACCATGGAATTGTTTCTAGTAGCAAAGTTCCAATGGGATATTCTATACTATCAAAGACTCAAACTTGGATATTGATAAGAAGTTGGAATTGCGAAATAAGCGTCATTGGAATAATGTCCAGTTGATCTATTCACAAAGGAAGGACCATAAAGAGGCATGGTATGCATGTTCATAACATTTCATGAATGAAGTTTAACTCAAGTGGTTAGCTGATTACTTGAAACATTATATAATGTGCAAAGTTGTAATTATTATGGTAATTAAATAACAGAGATTATTTATATTGAATAGTTTTGAGACCATAGTTAATTAGTTTATTATTGTGTTTCTCTTTGCATGTTTTTCTTCTTGAATGATTTGATTATTCGAATTCCACGGACACTCATACTTTTGGAAGTAAGTAGTAATTTAAGACTCTCAAGAATGGAAATTTAGATTGTCTATGGGGATTAAACATTGCAATAAGATTGCTACAATGTTCATGAGTACTTAGAAAAATAGGGATTTTGAGTATTCGATAAACCCACGCTCAGAGGATTACTTCATGGATTCTATCACGAGTAATTGTGACACGATAATATCTTTTATACTTAAAACGTAGATATATGAGTTGTAATTTACAAGTTGTTTTTGCATTGGTATTTCAAAAATGCATCAGTAATGGGATGTCATAAAACATAGTGTCATGCATGATTTGGTGAGTAAAAGATACAAGAATATAAGTCAAAGTTTATTCCTTCCTTTTTCCCTAACGGGAAAAGCTATATCTTTGGTCCCTTTGATTATTTTTTGTCGACATCTGAAGTGCTTGGCCTAGTCTGGACTGAATTGATGTGTTCAATTAGTAGTCTGAATTCTGTCGTCATAAATCAGGAAATCGATAAACAGAATCTTGGACTATGAGATTGATTCTAATCCATGTCTCATGTCCATACGATATCTTGTAGAACGAAGGAATATTTGATCACTTATCTTCGGGCCAATGTCTAATTAGATCAGATTTTGATAGTGGCTTTAGAAAACACTCTTTGCTATTTGGTTATACTTGAAATTGTAGTTATAAGCTTATCCAAGTGGGAGACTGTTGGATTAAGGTGTCTAAGCTCATAACTAAATTGGTGTAAACTTGAAAATGGAAGCAAAGTCATTTTTGGGTTTCCCTCATAAAAAAAATAGCTAGAAATAATATTAGGAGAGAGAGAAAATTGATTTGTTAATATATTATGTGATTAATATATTAATTGGAAATAGATAATTGATATGTTAATTTGTTATGTGATTAAGAAATTAACATGCGATCAATAGTTGAATAATTGATTTGTTAATTTATATGGTTAGTAAACTAGTAGGAACTCAATTAGAATTAATTAACTATTAATCAAAATTAATCTGGAATTAATTTGCGATTAGTTGGAATTAGTTAAAGGTGCAAGGGGTGAATTGTAACTATTCAATAGTTAAACAAAAAAAGGCAATTGTAGAACCATCCAATGGTGGACGGATTTAGAGGCTCTTCTAGGTTTCTGGAAGCCTCCACGATGCAGATAAGGAAATGATTAGAATTGAGATTAAATCTATTATTTAATTAATTCAAATATGCCTTTACCTGCAAGTTACCTAAACTATAAATAGGACCCCAAGGCCATCACTTTTCGTTCATGCCTTTACCTAAAATCTTAGGAATGAAATTTCTATACCTCTCCTCTCTTTCCTCTTCATTATAGGGTTTTTAGGTGTTTGCATGTGAGCCATTAGGGGCATCATATTTTTGGTGCTTGCTTTCCAAGGCTTTCAAGAAGGAATTTTGTTTGGTTATTTACTATAATAATCAAAAGGCATGTAAACCCTAACTCTATGCTTATTTTTTTTTATTATTATAGAGTTCCCTTAGGGTTCTTGATGCTCATAGTTTATTTCTATCAATAGAGAAAACATAGATGCAAATAGGCTGCATGTAAACTTAAGAGTTAAGTATTTTTCCGCCTCATACATATATTTTTAACCTATAAAACCCATCAAAAACTGGGCCTCATCCCTCACCTCCTGCAACTGGTCTTGAATGATTAGAGTCCTTATCTCCATCACATCCCCCTCTTCCTCTAAATATTATACCTGCTCTGTGAGCTGCCTCAGGGCCATCCTTAAATAGAAGAGCTCGGAGTCCATCGCTCCTATGCGATCTGAGTGACGCCGGTCCATGCTACCAGGAGGGAGATAGCTTGCTCGACTGGTGTTTCTGGTGTAGGAGTGGGTTCCGTAGAGGACTACCCTACGTCAAAACATGAGCCGATATCTTCCTCCTGCCTCCAGGCTCTGATTTAGGGCATCCAAGTGGCGTATCCACATGGAATTTTTGCTAGGGGTGGTGATGCTGGTGGGGATGTTGGGTTTTGATACGAAATATAAGTTTGTTTTTCATAAAAACCGACAACGGAAGACTTTAAAAATAACAAGTTTATTTTTAGTTCATAACAAAACCAAACCATCATGGATCCATTTATAGAGGTTAGAATGAAATAAAAAACAACCATATGATGTTTTAGAGATAACCTTTGAAGCCTTTGAACCCACTTGGTTTTGGGGTGTTGATGAAGATTTAAAGATCAAAGAACATGATCTTCTCTACAAGTATCCACCATCAAGATTAAGGCACTTGGAATGCTAGTTCCTTCTTGTATTCTTGAGTGTCTTAAGCCTTTAACTACTTAACTCAAATAAGCACTAAAGGAGACAACTCAAGATGGCTTCTAAACCACCAAACTAACTTCAAAGGAGAGAGTGTTGTAGAGGCATAAAACTCACGGTTTTAGAGAGCAAAAATTGAAGAAAGGAAGAGCAAAAACTTGCTCAAAACTCATGAAAGGCACTCCCTTAAACACTCCATGAAAAGTAAAGCCTGTGATTAAAATACTCTAAAATATTTCTAGCCTTTAGAAGCATGGGAGACAAAGCATGGAGGTTGAAAAGCAACCTCCATATTTGTTTATTAATTTCGGCCATACCTCTCAAAAGAGGATGGATTCTTTAAATTTTATAAACTTTAAGTTTATAAAATATAAACTTTGTCTTTAGGTAAAAGACAAAAGAATCCAACTAGTCCAAAATGTTGTGCATAACTTATTAATTCATACCATATGAAATAATAACTAGTTATACTCTCTTATAATTATTATTTTCACAAAACAATAATTATACCTAATTAAAATACAAGAATTGATATTATTTATTAATAATCATATTAATAATAACTATACAAAATGTGCCAACTTGAGAAAGGTGTGATCCTACAGGATTATATATTATTAGCAATATCACTCCATAATGATTCTTGGGCATATAGATTTAACAGGGGATGCCACTCTCTTTCGAGAGGGAACATCAATAGTCTTCCATAGAGTTTGTTTCACCTAAGTACCAGTGTGTACTCTGTAGGATCAATGTGAAAGAGTGGGGCAGGGTGGTGAGATCTCCGGCGAGGTGGCAGTGTCCTTATCGTCCTCGTCCCCCTCATAATCGAAACTGAGAAGCTCAAGCCCAACTGGCTTTTATTCTGGCTTGGATAGGTGCTCTGCTGGAGTATAGTCGGGCTTGGTGTCATCGCTCCCTCCGTAGGCTCCTCCTCAGAGGCCACGATCATCGCTACAGTGTCGATAGGATCAGAAACACCAAGTGCTGCGTGCTCTTCATTTCTAGTTAACCCTAGTTTCATGTTCACTATTCCTAGGCATACAATCTTGTATTCTCAAAATTATATGAATCAAGTAATCAAGAAGATGTTCATATAACTTAATAACTCACTTATTAACAGAAAATATTTATCATCAGTACATGAGGATCTTTAACAAGCTTAACAAGATAAATAACCAAATTAATATTAATCCAACCACTCAATCAAACCATGTTCATAAGATTATCTCATCCAAACAGAAGTAAAAAGCTTTTAGCTCATATCTACAGTAAGTAATAACCTAAAATCAAAATCTAATGATTCAAACATGGTTCAAAACAAAGATTAAGAAAAGAAGAATGATTATTTGCCTTTGATTATCTTCTAAATTGTCTCTTATGTTGCAATCTCGAAAACTGAAGCTTCAAGAACCCTTCTGGTCTTCAATAATCGCAGCTAGCCTCCAGAAAGTGTTAGGGTTCGAATGAGAAGCATTTCTATATATAAATTGTGAAAACAGGGCCAACTCGACGAGTTTTCACCACCAACTCGTCGAGTTTTTTCGATAATCCGCGTATACAGCGTGTACAGCAAGGCATCTTCGAATCGGGAACATTCTGACCAACTCATCGAGTTTTGGGTCAACTCGTCGAGTTCTCTTGGAATCAACATTCTCTCAACACATGAAAGTCGTCTGAAATTGTGTCTAGTTTTCATAACATTTTGAATCTCGTCAATCGGAGTTACGGTTCATGAGATATGGACAAAACACTGACGAGGGGTCAAGCTGTCCAATAACATCCTTCTTTCTTCAGTCTTCAATCTCCAAGCTTCCAATCACTCAATCCTCTTCCTTTTTCACCCGAGCATGTCTTTTATTTCTGAAATTGAAATATTAAGCTAATTAAGCATATTTTGTTCATTAAATGAGATAAAATCAACATAAAGTATTAAGATAATGCATGCATTTTATAACTAAATATGCCCATATCAAGTCCCTTCCGACTCCTTGAATCCCTTCCGACTTGCTGAGTCCCTTCCAACTCGTGAGTCCATTCTGACTCTTTGAGTCCCCTCCGACTCCTTCAGTATCTTTCAACTGGTACGAGTCTATTTCACCCCTACAGCTAAGCATATAGTCATACCAGCAAGAGTCACAAAGGGATCGAGCACATAGAAGCTTATTAGAAAGTGTCACAAGGATCACTACTATCATACGACATAACCCAGTGGGCCGACAATGGTGTCTTCGACCCACAAGTACAGTGAGGAGACTCACTTCAATCTGAAAATAACCGTCTCACACAAGTGCTGCTGCTATAGGGCTCCTCACACTAAACATATCCAAAAATTACCCCTAATCCGTAATTAGGGTAATAACCCCTAATCAAAGGTCCAATCGTATTCTATCATGCTAACGGGTAAAATACTATTTTACCCTTCCCATACTTGCCGCATCCAACTTTTTCCCAAACCCAATAGGACCTAAGGACGAAAAATGGCCCAATTGGCCCTCTAGTAAGTACGCCATGCGTAACTACCCATTATGCCCTGCGTACGCAGCTTTAACAGAAAGGGAATTCCGGGCAATCCCGTTACACGCTGCGTACCAAGATGGTACGCCCAACGTAACATGTTGATGTCCAATCTCTACTTTTGAGGTATTAATCCTTTAAGACAACTCGTCCAATACTCATATATAATTCTTAAAAAGGTCTTAACTGATAAAGTTGACAACTTTAAGATTTTGCATGGCCTAATGGAGCCCAAAATTAAGCCCTAGGTCCATAACTTCATAAAAAGGTCAACAAGTCATGGATGGATGAGCTACAACCCCAAAGATGCGAATTTTATGACTTAATACCCTCTAAATGAACAGAAATGATGCTTAAAGGTTCTGGAGTAACTTCTACTCACATAATCCAAGCCATGGGATCAAGACATAACCAAAACATGAGCCAATTCTAGATCTAGTGAAATGAGTTGTAAAGATTCAACCTTTATACCTTGTGAGGTTCAGGAATGAAAAATGAGTTCAAGATCCAAGAGATTAAGCTTCACCAAGCTTTAATGATGGACTTCTTCTTCTTCAAGATGAACCAAAAACAACCAAAAATACTCAAGAGGCTTCAAATCTTCACAAATAGGGCTAGGGTTTCAAGATGACGCTTTAAAGAAATGGAGGCTGAGTATGGAGAGATTTTCCAGAAGTTAAGTTGCTTAAATAAGGCTCAAACCCTTAAAATTACGGTTTGCAACCTGAGTAAATTACACCCATCGTAATCTAAGTACTCCATGTTGTTGGGATATTTTGTGTTGTGTCAATTATTTTTTGTACTATTATAGTCTATTTTGTCATTGGTTGGGCCTGTCCACCCGGTTATTAATGATTTTAGGGTTAGACTACATAGAGTGTATGCACGCACCGTATTAGGGTAATTGATTGTAATTTTGCCCTACTTTCCTTTATAGTAGAAGTTATTCGTCGAGCTCTTCTGAGGCAATTATTATTCATCATTCGACACCAGTTTGATCATTGCATTCATTGTTTGATTTATGTTTCTGTTAATAATCTTTCGATCAACTCTTAATTATTCTAACAATTGGTATCAGAGCTGGAGATTGTGTAAACCATACACAATTCTTCTGTCGAGTGTTTTAGGGTTTCCACTTTTCTTGGATCTGTTCTAGCCGTCTTCATCGATTGTTGACGTTGGATCTTGATCCTTATTTTTCCCTAAAGTCTATCAAAGTTTTACACATCTGATTCTTTACAGGTTTTTAGCGAATCAACATCATGCATTCAGAAGATCCTCATACTCTTTCCTTCAACCTATATAGCAGTATTGGTTCCACAACCAGGATCCCTATTCTATTTCCCCAAGATTACGAAGTATGGGCACTGCACTTTGAAGACTATGTGCTTGGTCTTGAAGATCATGTTACGTTAATATGGGATGCTGTGACCAAACAGACGTTCTCTCATACTGCTACCAGGAAGGTTGTAAAAAATCAAGCAGACTATAATGCTCTTCTTCTTGAGGTTACGAATGTTCCTCAAGATGAAAAAGATAAGCTTTTAAGCAATATCAAAGCTATGAGAATTATCAGATTCTATTTACCACCAGACACATTTCGATTGGTGAGTTAGTGTGAGACTGCGAAGGAGATATGGGACAGGTTGAAAGAACTTTATTCCAGTGATGCAGATCTTGAACATTCTGTTCAAACATTACTTATTTCTGAGTTTGGTGCTTTTACCCAGAAGTCTGATGAAAAGCTTGATCAGACTTTCAATCGCTTTAACCATCTTTTGAGCAGGATGCTTAAGCACAACATGAGACGGGAAAATATTGAGCAAAATGTTACCTTTATGAATGGTTTAAGACCTGAGTGGAAGACGGTTGTTTCCACAGTTAAAGCTCATGAACAATTCCAGAATTATTCTTTGGCGCAGCTTGTGGGAATACTTTAGGTCCCACGAAGATGAAGTAGCAAATGAAGGGAAGGTTGTTTCAGGAATGTGATCTTTGGACCTTGTTGCGAAATAGGAAATAGGAATATGCTTTGATGGTCTCTAACCCAAGGAAGTTTGCAAAGAAGAACTTTGGACGCTCCAAGAATAGAAATTGGCAAGGGAGTTACAGTTTTGACAAGGTGAAGGATGAAAGCTTCAATAACTCGCAAAAGAATGAAGTGAAGAAAGAAAACAAGCTAATATGATATCATGGCTATGACTATAAATATTGTCATGGCAAAAATTATCTGTCCAAGGAATGTATGTTGCGCAGAATGAGTGAAAAGAAAGATGTAGAAGATAAAGATGAAGCTTATCATCTCCGAAAAAATAAGGAGATCAGAAAGAATAAAAGTGTTGACAATGCTAAGACTGCTTTGATTGTGCAGGAAGATGATGACGAGTTCGGAAGAGTTGAAGTCTGGTCGACTGATTCGGAGGATGACGAGGTTCGTAGACCCACACATGGAGAGTGCTTTGTCACGAAGGCTGAACTCCCTAAGTACGAGGGAAAGTGTATGATGGTTCACAATGACGTTTCAGATCAAATATGATATGCCACTGATGGCGACAGGACTTCGGACAACTGCTTCACTGCTAAACCTGTCTCCAAACAGATCAGCGAATGTGAGAAAGTGATCAGCAAGGTACATTCAATTCTCGAATCTCTTAATATTCCTTTCTCAGGATATGAAACTGAATTAGATGATTTAAAATTTATCATCTATAGTTTAAGTGATAGTTTAAAAAGGACCCGTTTAAGTAATACTAACTTAACCGATCAAATCAGCAGGGTAACATCATAAAGTGAAGAGAGACGACTGTGGATTGAGAAGTTGGAGTCGAATTTGTCTAGGTCTAGGGATGATTTAATTTATTTGCAACGAGACAATTTAGGTCTTTTGAAACAGCGAAACATATTCTGTTTGATTGCTAAACGTCTTTATTTTAATATCACTCAGCTACAAATTGACTATGAAATAGGCAAGGATATCCATAAAATGATTTTGCCCTTTCTCGAATTGAAAGAGGATGAAATCGATGCAGACTGCTACAGTTACGAATCCATTGTCTCTTCTGACGATGTCTTTGACTATTACAGAGTTGGACTGGACAAAATTGAAGCTTACATACAGTCCAATCAACATAAAGACATGCTATAACAAATTTTGAGCGAAAAATATAAATAGCAAATTAAATCTAATACTGTACAGAAATTTGACTCATTGTGCACTAAGTTGAGTTCAAAAAATACTCTTAATGTTGAAAATATATCTGAATTTGATAATGATAGTGACATGAGTGAGATTTATGTGGAGGATGAGGTTGATTGTTCGGAATTTATAAAAAAGTGAATCTGAACCTAAGAAAAATCTGATTTCTGAAAATTCAGTTGAGTATGTTCGTGTTTCTGAAAATAAAGGTTCAAAAATTTTAAAATAAAAGGCAACAGTTTTTCCAAAAGTTCAAACTGTTCCAAATCAGGTTTTTCGCAACTTCTGGACTGAACAAAAATCAGACTTTG